AAAGTGATTAGGGTTTAGAGAGTCAAAAAATTCCTATCTGTTGACATGAGACCGATTTTTCACAATATTTCAGTCGAGAATGAGTAGAATTTGATAAAACTTAGTGAACATTATTCCTTGTTGTCCTGTCCAAAATGGTCCGTGTCCATTCATTACGACGGACATACGAACACATTTTTCTTATTGTTTTTGAGTGCCGAATATAATCAACAGTGCTCTCTACTGAGTGCCCCTCTATGTTATAGATACAACTTTCCTACGTCTTTTGAAATACTGCATTAAAAAAAAGTAAACAAGCAAAAACAAATCTTCAAAAAAGGATTTAAATGTAGGGATGGATAATATTAAACCTTCACAAGGAATACAAACAAGATAGTAGGAATGGCATTTGCATCATCCCTACGTAACACCACTGGCGCACAGTGTAGTACAATGTTAACAGACAGAAATAGGATAAACAAGAAATTCAAACCTTTTGCTCTAATATTTACAGACATTCCCAGAACTTGACTCAGTCATTACACAGATATTGTTATGAAAGGAAGCATTGTATAGTATTGTAAAGTTCTGATGACCTATTGAGGAGATATTTAACATACCATTTTGATGACAATCCGACCCATCGCTATATAGGTAGTGCTACCGCCTGCCTGATATTACACTTTCAGTATAAAAAGCAACTTTCAAATGCTATTAGAACTGACTAGAAAATAGACGAAAATTACTATAAAGTAAACATAATATATAGAAGGCGAATCCTAATTTTACTAGATAATATATAATACAATTTTTGGAGCGCCATCTTGTAACCTAATTAAACGCGAAAACAAATGCACAAGTTTTGAAGCGCAATGTTCAATATACGAGTATTTGTGAAGTATGCAAGGTATTTAGAATGTCTTCAAATTCAGTACTTGTAGCAAAGGTTGTTAGCCTTGAAATATCATTCATCTAAATCTAACTATCCAGTAGTTTCTATTTGTTAACATGTTATTATTAGATAATAATTTATTTTTGTTTGTATCCCACGTTTCGGCTACTAGCCTCCAGCCGTTTTCGAAGGAGACCTGAGAAAAACGGTGTGAGGAAGCAGGAACCAGAATTGGATCCTGGTTTTTATTGTAAAAGATAAAATAATAAATACATAAATAATGAATGATTTTCTATCATCTGTACCTTTTTCACACTAAATACTCGAATGAAGTATTCTATCGTTTACAAGAGTGATAACCAAGTTTTGCTGATTTATGGGGCCAGTTGAATAAGTATGTTTTCAGTTAATTAAACTTAGAAAGTTTATTTTAGATTTTTTTTCTCTCTCGTGTGAGTGGCTCGTTTATCATTTAGTATTAATGCGTTTCACCCTATGATATTCTTCTTGTACATAATAGGCTGTTGCAAATAGGTCGGATTACATTTCAATGTCGATTATTCACTTGTATTCTGACTTTTGTTGTTGTTTTTTGGTTCATCTAGCGTACTATAGTACACATTCACAAGATCCCCCCCCCCATCAGATGGTTTGTTGTGTTCTAAATGCGATCGTACTGGGTTTTGGCTTTTGAGTACTCTTCCGATCTCGGAAAAACACTTTGATAGAACTCAAAAAAAGGATAGACCTCTCAAATAACATATCCAAATGCAAATCTCCATAAAATAAATATAGATCTTGCAACCTTCTGGGTCAACACTTACTTTCGACACGAAGCTAAATATTATCACTAACAAGAAGGCTTAGCCCTGTGCTTATTCCTATCACACTTCCACATGGAACATTCCTGAAATAACGTTCTCAAAACAGCCGTTGTAAGACCGAGGATTTACCTCAAACATTTCTATGTCCACATACTACAGATTACGTAACTTATAAATTATGTTATCTTAACAGAATTTTTTTGATACAATTCATAACAGAAATGCAACATAAACTTCTACTCCAAGTCGCAGTGGTTACCAAGACAACTCGTACATCACAGGATTTTACATGCACTCAGTTTGACCTATATTCACCCTTATATACCTCAACAACATAAAGACGAACTTCATAGAGAGCTTAGTCTCCAGAATAAACTAGGTTTGCATTACAGAAGATACTACGAAGAAGAAAGAAAGAATGAAAAATGCATCACTAAAACCCTCTTTAATACGAAAAAGAATAAAGAAAATAAACAACGAATATATAGAAAACGAATTACAATTACATACACATTCAACTATATCAAAAATCTCTGAAAACACAAGTAAACAGTTTTTCTGTACTTCTCTAAAAATGGTATAACATCTGTAGAGGAAATGAATGATACAAACTAATTAGCAATTAGCAACAATAAAGTTAAGTTGAGTAAATTAATAACTAATTAGACTTAAATGTTCGTATAGACTACTAACCAAGATACCAATTTTCGGAGAGCTAGTGATTTCTTAAATTACAACTGAAAGTACAAGTCAAATCTTGATCCAGCCTACTAAACAAAAGACATTGACATACGCATTCATACTGAGGATCTTAACCCTGCTCGTCTCTAAAAGAAACGTACAAACATTCACACTTAGGATGTTAATCCAGTTCACTGGAGATATTAATCTATACACAAATATTTGTCAGTACGTTTTGTATTGTAAATAGTAAAGAAATAAAAAATAAGTATTTCTAAGCATTTTTTTTCCTTCATATAGTCTAGACAAGTGGTTCTCAAAGTGTGGTATTTTTCCTCAACGTTGGCAAGTTACTACTTTGAATGGTTTAGTTACATCAACTTAGTCAATGCTGAACGAAAACAAGTGTGTTTAAATACATGCATGTTTCTTCTAATAATAAATCTTTCAAACTAACTACATTATTAGAGAAAGGTTTAAGTTTTAGCTGTATAACGTATGATACGTATTTCATGTATTTATATTTATCTGCCTATAGTTTCCATAAGTGGGTAAAAAAAGATATATTTATACAGAGAGAGATAGAAATTTAAAGTCAGTTTCAATGAACAGAATACAAGTAATACCATCAGTTTACTCTGCACATACTTCAGTTAAATAGACGTTCCACTGACATAAGACTAATAACTGGTGATCACTTAACCTTTTGTTGAATGATCTTAGCTTCGTCAAACTTTGTTAAAAAAAAACAAAAAAACTTTGTTAAACTTTATGTAGTTAATACGATTTAGATAATATCTGAACTTATGAAATAAAACAGGAAAAAGAGATAAGTGTTAGTCAATGTTTAATTAAGGAACACCAAACAGTTTAATAAGAGTTTTTGTTACTCCCACTTGTAAATTAGAAATCACACTTCAATAAACCTGCAATTAAGTCATATTTAAAAACTTGTACATTTAATTTACCTTCACTCTTCTGTTTAAAACATCGTCCCAGTTAATGCCTTTGAACCATCGATGTCTTTTTACATCGTCAGCCCCGTTCTGAAATGAACAAAAGTTATTTCTTTATCTTTTAAATTTAGGTAGATAAAACTACATCATTTATGTAGTGTACATTAGTGGTTCTAAAACACGAGGTAACATATAAAATGTATTTTACATCGACATGCAATTAAAAAAAGGGGGACATATTCATGTATATAACCGTAAATGTCCAGTGAGCTCAGTAAAAACGTGTCAGTAATAATAATAATAATAATAATAATAATAATAATAAAGCGGTTCAAATGTTAGGAGCACTTTGTGTAGTGCTTGCTGCTTATTCCTAGTTACACAAATGGAGAAGGATCTTTGTTTCTACAGAAGAAGTAATGCCACTTCGACGTGACGGTTGTACTTGGAATCATTTGTGGCGTGAGGACCATTTGGGAGGGAAACTGTTTTTTTGTTTTTTTTTGTTGTTTTTTTAGCTGTTTTGTTAAATGATACTAAAGATTTCTGTTGTGGCCCAAGAAATAAAACAATACAATGGGCACAGTGATAGAAGAATATAAAACCATACAATATTCTAATAACGTGCACTAAATTTAAATTTAATTTAATCATCGAGCCATTGTTAATGTACAAGTAGACGACTGAGCTCTTAAACCAAGGGAAAAAAACACATTAACCTGCCCAAAGTCTTTTTAAAGATACTTTTAGGTTCTTCTTTTATGTAAACAAACAATTTATTAATGAAAACAGCTCTCGTTTCCTCTCTAAAATATTTCATACATACATATTTTGACGATTCACAGGAAAAACTTGTAAATCTAAAGTGAAACGTATTTGTATATTTACTACCCTTGCTGGATGGTCAGCAATTTTGAGTTAAGGATGGCTATACCTGAACCTTGCTGTTCAAGTTGAAAATACCAAATACATATTACCCAGAACTATCAACACACACTGTAATTTTATTCATTACAATTGGTCTAATAGATAGATTTCACAGTAGATTTTTTGCGTTTTTCCCACCACACGTTTCATAGCAACAGTATATGATAGTTAAACACTAAATATTCTCATTCTTGTATGTGCATGACTAATTAAATCGAAAATTAAGAATTCGAATGTGCTTTTTTTTGTGCTTCAAATAGTAAAAAAAAAAGAAAAAACTTACTTAAAAGCAATCTTTGCTTCAACTACATTTTAAAGGAGTTAATATAAAAAATTGCGCATTAATACATCGTTCGTTGAGTGACTCTGAAAGAGACAGTAATTTGTATATAATCGATATTTCGACTTTAAATAAACAAAATCCTATAACCTTTTTAAAAGCTAATTTAAGCGATATTTACCTTCATACTTCCTAGTCGTTTTGTACGATCTTGAACAAGCAGCTTCTTTATTAGATCCCTGTATAAAAACAAAAAGATATATAATAGATAATCCCAGTCAACAATCAAATGACATGATACCTTCAACACTATGAAATAAATTATTTATATATACACACACACACACACACACACACATTATATATATTTGTGTATGGCGATTTTGCTGCCCTTTTTCTGTCACAAGTGACCCCCATGCGGAGGCTATATTAGCATTTGAAAACTATATAACTACGGTTCACCACTGAAAGATATCTTGGTCAACCCTTTTCCATGTTTACTAATAATTAATAAGGTGTAGAATTCTTCTAGATTGCTAACTTACAAACAGGTGGCGAATACAAGAAGTAATCAGGTTTCTCATTTCTTTCTCATAGCTCAAACCCAATAAAATGTAGTGGTCAATAAAGCTAATTTTTATTATTTTGAGGCGTCAACAGCTCGAAGTTCAAGACATACTGGCTAACCCTAATATTAAAAACTTCTTACTTCGCTACCGGGTCAATATGTCGAGGCCAGTCTAGTTTTCCAGCTAGGATCTTCTCGTAGATAGCAAATGGATTGTCGTCAAAGAAAGGAGGGTACCTGCGAGAGAATAAATGTAAAGATGAAATCCACGTGAAAATGGTTTCCGTTTCGGTTTTTCAGCTTGTCATCTTTGAAAGTCTGGGTAGGCTTAAAGAAATTTTATTGTTAAATACACTTCATTTTACGTTAGGTTTAAATATCGTTTTAGGTATGTATATTTGTATTTTCTGCAAGTTCACTTAGTACTGAAACTTTCCAGTAAATATTACACAATTTTCGATTTAATTACAATTATTAGGGCTCGAATCA